CAACGCAAGTTCGGCAGACGTACCCAAAAACTACTAGAGGTGCGCGTGTTTAGCAGCGACACTTTCTGCCTCGGCTTTGTAACCAGACCATGATGTAGAGGCGGCCGATTGATCAGAACTCGTGACGTAATTGCGCCTGGGAATCTGATTGGTCGGGCCTAGTGTTAAATAAAATCTGTTCTGAGATCACAAACGAAAAAGGTGAAATCCCTTATCGTGTCCGGCTTTCTCATTAGTCGTTACGGTGGTCAGTAACTAGCCATTCTGCCCGCGGTCTTTGGATTTCCCACAAATATATATTTAAATTTGAATAGTATATGTGATTGACAATTTTGTTCGATATAAAATTAATGAATGAATTAATTAATTATGGACATATAACGGTAGATATTTCTATTTTTTTTTTTTTATTATGTGTCAAGGAGATTAATATCAAAAGGTATAGAAATATTTTGAAAAATTACCTCCAAAAAAAAACTCAAAAAGTTTTAATTTCCTTTAATGTTTTTGACTTTTCAAATTTTAATTTTCTTTTGAATACAATTAGTATCCTTACATATGTGTTATTTACATAAATTTTATTCTATCGATTCAACTTCTGCCACATTTGTTCACAATGATTTTTCTTCTCTTAATTGTTTCTTTACTTTACCTGTATAGATTTGGAAGAACTCATAAATGATATATAATTTAAGTAATTAAATTTCAGTTAAAGGCAGTTGAAATTTCCAGTAATTTTTTTTTTTTTTTATATCAAAGTCTGTAAATAAGTAATGTTTTGTTTTATACTGATTATCTTTAGTTTAAAAAATGTTCTATGACCGTTAAGAGGGTCATGTATTATTTAACATATTTTTACAATACGTAAAAATGTATGAACTTGATAATTATCGTACAACATTGATAAAAATGGTTGGAGGCTAAGATACATCATTCTTTTGTAACAAGTTTTTAGTCTTAAAACGTGTGCAAAAATTCAACAATAAATCATGTATCATTTCTTTATCTTCACTATAACTCGTGTGCCGTAATAAACATTTGTGAGGCCAATGAGATCATGGCAAGATTAAAATTCTCACAAAGATGGGGCTTATACGAACCTTATTTTTTCTGTAAAGAATTTGTTCATTTAAACAGCAACCTGTAACAGATCAATTATTCTTCACTGGGGTGGGATTGAAAGTAAATACTTTGAAATACTTAATAGAATGGAGTATGATAGTAGATCGTAACATATTATGGAAGCATACTATCATACTCCACAAAAACATAATATGTGTTAAATGTAAAATGAAAACTATAAAATTGATAAGTATCTGACAAACCTGTATGGATATCCTTGAGCCTTGTTCTTGAATATGGACAAAAGTAAGCTAAAGAAAATAGCAACTAATCCAAAACCTATCACAGCAAATATTCTTCGTTTTTTAACATCACCTTTCCTTGTTGCAGCTTCGGTCATTAGAATCATTCCTAATACCACTGCCCCATCTTATTACTTTCGTTAAGGTATATTATATGTATATGTAATGTTCAATTAATTAAATCTAAAAAATAAAAGGATACTCAAAACCATAACAATATATGTTTCTAACACAAATTGTCCTTGGGAGGATCCATGGATATATGCCATATTTCCATTAGGTGATTTGTGGACTAATGGAGGTCCTCTGATATGATTCCACATTTGTCCTGATATCATTATAAGAGTGAAAAACTAGAACAAAATTAATTTCAATCAAATAATTTGTTTTAATAGTGATAAAGAAAAATAAAATTAAGCTTACCAGTGCACCAAGAGCCCAAATTGTTTTATTATAAATTAAATCTAGATTATTACGCCTAACATATAGGAATACTCCGATTAGAACAGAGAACATTATCAAAGTTACTGTACCAGAGTAGTTTGGTGGCCTGAATATATTTATCTATAAGAAAAATAAATATTTATAATAAATATTTTTTATTCTACAAATTTTATAAACAAACATATTTACCTGAATATCGGTACGTTCTGATATCCATTTTGCTATTGCTTCTGCAGCAAAACCAACTCTTTGTATATCCATAGTATCTGCTGCTTTTGGTTTACCTTTTGATGGAAAATGCATGTACACCGGGGCAGTATTTAATCTCATCTAAACAAAGAAATTGTTTTTTATTTTTATACTTCATATTTAGAAACTGATTACAGCATATATCTATTTAATACCATTTGAAAAACATCTGATCCTTCATCAAAATCTACAGATGCAAAGAACAACTTATTTGAATAAGATTGAGAATATCGGAATGAATTAGCAACTATTGTGAATTCGTCATTTGCATGTCTGAAAAAAATATAATCATTAAAAAAAGCTTTTAATAAATAAATTATTATTATTTTCTTACCTGCAAATTTGACACTGCCTTTGAGGTGCCATAGCGGTAAACATTACAATAACAGAATAATTTCTTGGAGTATTTTTCACAAATTCCTTAAATTTTGCACCGTTAAATTTAATTACTGGTCTCCTAATTGCCATTTCTGTTAATTGTTGTACACGTTCGGCTAACGAGGAACTTTGACTCTAAACAGAATATGTAGTTTACACAGTTTAGAGGTTATGAAGATGGTGATATTTATTAATCTACATAACCACTTAATTTATCTTATAATTTTATATTAAAATAAAATGAACAATTAAATTTAAAGGATAGTTAATAAAAGTAAAATAAAATTTCATTTAATAATTACATCAATAATTAAAATAAGATTGAAACATGACATGAATGTGACATTTGTAAATAGGACAATATCTATAATAATAATTCTTTAATTCTTACATTTTTCGTTCTGTATTGACAATTGACATAAGTTAAACTTAGTAGCACAATTCCGAGGAATGTAATATAATATTTTGACATCATTTTTTAATAGATTTTGAAAAAATCTATCAGAAAAATCAGTAACAGCTATGTCTATCACGGCACGTTAATATAGTAACTACAGATATGACATTGACATGCTAGTCCAAAAACCGATTGGTCTGAACGTTGCTACGTGGCACTACGTGTCTGTCCTTTTTCTTATACTTATTAGATTATTACAAAATTAAATAATAAGTAACAATCCTTAGAAAAAGTATGACACACATAAAATTAAAAAAAAAAAAATTAAACAAATATTTATAATATAAATATATCAATTTTTTCTATATTTTTTATTACAAAATGAGAAACATTTTTTTTCAGATATTTGAAATAATTTATCACAGTAATATAGTACAAATTTTATTAATATTAATATTTAACTAATATTAATATAGTATTTTATATGCAAAAATGAAAGTAATTTAAAAAGATTCAATTTGGAAATGTTAGTGGCTATAAATCATATGCACACATTCCTGCACATTTGTGACCCCTCACATCTTCGTCGCTGATTGGTCGAATAACTAGACGTTGGTTAGTCAATAACGTAACCGTCATTCAAACGTAGCAAAAACCGGTGGACTAACCCGCGCGAAAAAACGTTGAGAAATACGTTTTACTTCACACAAGCCATAGTTTTCAAGGGGGATGGACGTCTTCATGGAGGAACGTACAGTGTTTTTAATAATCAATAACTGTGTATATTTAAATAAACATTAGTTAGTTAACGCGCGCGTGATATATTTTTAATCTTTTTATTAACAATTATTTTAACAATCATTTTATTAAATATATTAAATATTATAGTGATATGTCGTTCGCAAAAGCTAGAATTCAACGGTTCAATGATCTTACAAGTAAGTTATTATCATAATCTTTTAGTTTTCTTTTTTTAAATATTTAAAACAATTTAACAATCAATGTTATCGTCTTAATTAATAATAATCATTGTTGCGGATCATTTTTAAATTCATAATTGTGTAAAATAAATTTTTAAAATGGGTGCTACATTATGGCGGGAAAAATTAAATACTTTGTTATAATATATAATATAATACTTTTTATTGATTTCTTTGTTTAATTAGATTGTTATATATATATGTATATATATATGGATAGAATTTCTATAAATTATTTAAACAATTAACATTAATACATAAACAATTTATATGTGCACGTGGTATATAATTATTTTTAAATATACATTATTATAATTTATTTCAATTTTATTATAATTTGTTCTTTGATAATTTATATTATTTTATTTTATAAAATTTTTTTATAAATATAATAAATATGAACTTATAAAACAGTACATGTGATGCAACAGTGATATTACCAATCGTTATACTTTTTAGAATATAAAAAAAATGTATCCTAATTCTTATAATTAGTATTTTCCATTATTACAACTTTATGAACGTTCTGCGATAAATGTTGATCTTTAAATTATTAAAAAAGGAGTGGGGGTTTGGTAGGGGGAAGGAGGGTGTAAGTAACGACAAAAGAAGGTATTTTATCTTAACGACAAGAAGGGTCAGTCGAAGGTTACACCTGGTAGTACCTTCATGGCTCAACTACTACTTATGTATCCCTCAAATACTAACACACAGCTGTCTCCCATTTGGAGTCTCCCCTTCCGAAGATGCGTCAAGAGGAAATCCTTTTGATTCCACCCTCCAATCTTAGTTTCAACGTGTTTCGTTAAAAGAATAGGATACCGACCCTTTGTCAATGCAACGAGTATAACGCAATTCTAACCTTTTAAATGTCTTTCTTCCATTTAAATAGAAATTTTTAATAAAAATTGGGCACAATCAATATTATATATACTGCTTCTTTTATTTAAACGTGGAAATTGATAATATTTCAAAATGAATTTTTACAGATAAGGTACCACCACCTGGTGCATATGATCCAAAGTTTGGCCCAAAAGTAAAAGGGCTTGCAATAGAGAAAAGAGAAAGATTTCAGGATAATAAAAGTGTAACGAGCAATAGCACGGAATCAAGTTTAACTGTTTCCAGAAACAGTGCTAGAAAACAACTGCCTGAAAAATTTGTTGCTGTGAGGAAATATATTATATTTTATTAAATATATATTAATATATAAACTATATTAAATAATTTAATAATTAAATTGTTTTTTTTTTTTTTTTACAGCCAATATGTGTCAAAAAACGTGTTATAGTCAAACCAATGAGTACAAGTCTTACAAAAGAAAAATTGAAGTCCACGAACCAGATTAACAGTAAAAGTGTTAATAAACAACAGTATAATTCAACGCATGAGTTATTGGAGTTAAAAGTTGAGTGTGAAAATAAAGATAGAACTATACATGAACATGAGAAACAAATAGAAGAAATGAAAGAAGAAATATGCAAACTTGAAGTGCAAATAGAAGAATTACATAGAAAACAAATTGAAGTCGAGGAACAGCATAAGAAAGATATAGAAACTATGGTAGGCAAATAGTATTTTTAAAGTCAGATCTGAATATCACGAGTTAGGCTTGTAATCGTTTGTTTCGGGCCGAACATGAATATCACGAGTCGTATTCGTGATTTTAATCTCGAACCAAGTATGAATGCTTGAATGAGATATTATCTCTTCTCTTTTCTTCTTTATATGTATGGATATTTTACATCTTGTTTCCTAATGCAATTTATGTACTACTTAGAATACATTATTGTAGTTCAGATAATATTTGAAAACTAAAGTTTCGATACTCGGGCTCCTCCTTTTGTCTCTTTTTGCAACCATTCGGGTTAGGCACAGCTTGTTTCGAATGTCAACGTATTTTAACAATTTTGATTGTTTTATAGGCTAAATTACAACAGGAAGTTTTAGATAATCACGATGAAAGACATCAAGCTGAAGCAAATGAGCTTCGTACTAAGCTATTAGATATATCGAGAGAAAAAGAAGAAGAAATATCTGCTAGAAGAACAGTGGAAAAGGAATTGAGAAATCGTGTTGCTGAGTTGTCTGAAAGAATATTACATTTGGAATCAGAATTTGCCAAAAAGACAGAAGCAAATCAAGCATTGGTAATTAATGTTAAATTTTTGAATGCGATATAACAAAGATATTATGTAATATTAAAATATCAAATGATAAATATATTTTTTCTTAAATAGATGACAACATTAGAGATAAGAAATGAAGAATTATTGTCAAAATTAAAAGCGTTGGAGGAAGAACGTAACATTCAAATTGATTTATTAGAAAAAGAAAAATTACAGTTAACATTAGATGTTAATGATTTGACGGAGAATAAGTGTGAACTTGAAGCTAAATTAGAGAAAAGACAGAATGTTATTTTAGAACTTCAAGGACAATTATCAACTCTTCAATGCGAGTTAGACGAATTAAGAGCAGAATACGACAAACTCGTATATGATTCTACAATGGAAACAAATCAACTTGTTAAGGAGCATAATAAAGAAAAAGAAACATCAATTGATTGGTTTTTGAAAGAAAATCAAAAACTTGAACAGGAACATGAACAGACAAAAATGACAGTAGTCAAATTAGAAACCGATTTAGAAAAAGTGACTGAAACTAATACCTGTCTACAAAATGAATTACAAGACATGAAAAGACTTTACACAGATGTAAATATTTTATTATAGGATTTTTCTTTAAGAAAAATATATAAAAAATATATAAATATTATAGATTTTATTCTTTTTTTTTTTTTTTCTTCTTATAACAGGTAAATCAACAGTTGACGCAGGCTCACAAAGAATTAGAAAGTGCAGAAGAAAAACACGAGCTTCTGTTAGAAAAACATGAGACTGAGATAGAAGCTTTAAAAAAGAAACACCATGAAGAAAACTTACAATTACAGCATCGATTAGAAGAAATTAGAATAAATTACATAAATGGAATAGAAAATGTAAGTTATAGACAAAGTAATTTTTTTAAATAATTATTATGACATTAATATTGTTTTTATTCATATAGTTGTGCCTAGCGAAATTTAAAGAGACAGTTGATATAAAAAATAAGGGTCAACACATTGAGGAAGAAAATAACCAAATTAAGGAAATCGAGGATATTATAGAAGGTTATCTTGATTATCTTCTTCCATTTGATAATGTAATACAGATGGGAAAAATTAGGGCTATAAGTTATGACCATGACGGAAAAGTAAGCTTACATTCTAATTGAACTGAAATATTATATGACTTATTAGCATGTATCGTTTGCCTTGGTTTTCTGTCGTCTTTGAATGATCAATTTTGATTAATGTGAATTTAATTGTTCTCATATCAATACTTATTTATATATAATAATTATCTAGGTAAATATAGTCTGCAAAGAAGCTACATCTGAAGTCGAAGGAGAGATGAGTCATATTAACAATATATTTATGAGACGTTTAACAGTACTAGAGAGTGAACGTGCTGCATTAAAAAGTAAATTAGCATTAAAAGATGAAGAAATAGAAGCACTTTCTTTTCAAATCAAGGAATTGAAATATTCTGCTGCAACTCAGGTATGCTTATTTTAATTGGAAATATTAATTCCACGTATAAATATCTTCTTACTTACATTTCATTATATATATTTCAGGAAAGTTTTAGTCAAAGTTTACAAATAGAATTAGACAAAGCGGAAACTGAATTAATAGAAAAAAAAGCAGAACTTAAAGCATTGAAAAACCAAATACGTTCGGAAGCTGCAGAATTGGTGTCTAGAAGAAAGAGGTTTGAAATAATTATGACTGAAAATAAAGCAGCATTTGCTGCAGTTTCGGAACATTTAGCACAGAGTAACGCCGAGGTAGAAAGATTGCAATATGAATTGAAATGTGCAGAAGATAATATAAAGGATTATCAAGATTTCCTTATTTCTATATATAATAATACTAAAGTGGTACAAAATTATACAAAACAGTTAGATGCAAATAGACAAATCGTTAATCAAATTGAAGCAGATAGTATATCTCAGTGTGAAACTTTGAAGAAACGTTACGAAAACAAAATCGACGAATTGAAACAAGTGGCATCCTTAGAAATTACTCGACTTTGTGAAGCAGTGAAAAAAAAATCCAGCCAATGTGCAGAGGTATTGTTCTATCTCTTTATGAGATTGAATATTATATAGCATACGTGATTATCAAGAAATTAAGTTCATATATTTTATTTGTTTATTTTAGATGAAGAAACAGTTAGATGAAATGGCTGGTTCTTTGTGGTCTTCACAAAATTTGTTAGTAAATTTAGAACAAACGAACGATGAACATCTCATTAAAATTTCCCGATTAGAACTTGAAAATATTAAACTTAAAGAAATATTACAAAAGCAAGAAGGAAAATTATCTGCAACATGTAATCCTATTGACGAGGAAGTAAATATATTTAAATTTAAAAAATATATCCTACTATTAAGGGAATAAATATATCTAATCTAGATTGTTCTATTTTTAGGCGTATCATCAAAGTTTAGAACAGTCACAGAAAGAGAAATTAGAAGAAAATGATCGATGTGAAGATGTAAATAAAATTTATATATATATATATATACTATTCTCTTATTGATTTGATAATAAAAATTTATAATCGATTATGTGTTTCAGAACAAATGTTTATTAATTGAAAAGAAAACAGAAGAATCTTACGAGGAAAAACTTATAAATGATTTAGCTGCGGAAAGAGTACTTCGTGAAAACATTGAAACGTAAGATGATTATTATGATTATATCAATACTTTGTAGGGAAAGAATAAACAAATAATTTTTATATTTTTTTAATTTAGAAAATACAAGATATTAACTGAAAGTAATGATCTACTTAAAAAGGTCTACGATGAAACGTATGATAAATATGTTCAAGCAAGAATTAGCCGTCACAGTTATCGAAGAAACCTTGTCCTGCTAAAAGAAACAATTCATCGACTGGAACAGGTGCGTTTATTCATTATTGTCGGCTTTGTGATTAGTTTGTACTTTATTTGGATGTATTTTCCATTGATTATTACGATCTATCATATAACATTGATTACCTTTCCAAATTTATTTATATTGTAATCTGTACATACATTATTTCTGCTTTATTTTTTTTTTTCAATGTAAACCTATTGTATAAATTTTGTTATGAAAAAAGTTAATGTTCAATGTAATAAAAATGTTTCTAATACGAATGATTTTGTGTTACTGTCTTGTTTTGCCCACTATATTTATTATCATTCGCATTATTATTCGTTTTTGTTATTTAAATTTTATATATATATATCTAAAAAAAATTGAACAACATAATAAGTAGTAGGTGAATTTATTTTTTAGGAATTGGAATCTAAAAACAAGCAACTGGAGCAACTCCAACAAAACATTACAACGGAGAAGGTAAAACTTCAACAAAAGCGTTCACAAACTAAAGGAAAAGAAAACGTGATAGGAGGAGGAATTTCGAAAAGTAATCACACCACACCCACATCTTCACCGCATAAATCATTGACGCCTCTTCGGGATCGAAATGAATAATTTAGTTAAATAATTATGACCAAAAAAAAAAAAAAACAGACTTTTTCAAATTACCATGTGTAAAAATAGTTTAAGCACGTTCCTCTTCTCGTTCCTCCCCCAAAATACAAGCTGATTTCAACATTAATCGTTAATGTATGATATTTGATATTTTAATGTTTTATTTCCCTTTTTTTTTTTTTCTTTAATTATAGAAAAAGAAATTATTTATAATTATTTAGCGTACAAATGAATAATGTTTAAAAAAATATCAAGAAAATATCCCATAGATCCTTGTTCTTATCAATGACGATTATGTTTATTTTGAGAATATATATTTTATACGATTCGTGCCATTATGACAGCATATTCAATTTTTATATGCGTAAAGTTAAATAAAGTTTTATTTACGCTATCAATTTGTTTATATTTGCAACAAGAAATTAATATATTTAAAATGATTGAAGAAAACTAATTAATAAGAGAAAAAAAAGTAATCAAAAATCAAGTTACATTAGAAGAAAGAACAATAAATTATAGAATCCTACGAATTGGAGGATAATAATAAAGTCTACCTAAGTTACTAACACATAAGAAAAGGATCCATCCAATTCATTAGAGTTTATTATGCCTAGTCGCGTATCTTGCGGCTTTAACAGAGAGAGGCCAGCACGTTATGCATTCTCTCTCTCTCTCTCTCTCTCTCTCCATAGTCTTCTTGACACCGAAGTAATCATTATACTCTCTTCTAAGGTACTTTGAACCTACTCTAAGGTCAACAAGCGCATGAATTTTAAACGTCATGATCCAATCATGTTTCTAAGACTTTCGAATACCCAGCCGCCCACACCATAAAGAAGAAGGTGTAATAATTTTCTAAACTTAATATCTGCTGCTAAATAATATCCTTTGTAATTGTAAGGAAAAAGGAATATTATAAACTATACATGACATGTACTTGGAAATACAAATATATAGAGATATACTATGAAGAAGGTAGTTAATAATCGAACGGGATTCATAGAATCTTTATAGATGCAAACTCAGGATGATGGTACCGATTCTAATGAAAAATCGATCTTGTCTGCTGCGAGTGACCCTACTTTCACAGTTGACCCCATTCCATGCTCCGTATCCGAGTAACGCAGTCTACTCTAGAAGGGCCCTGTCTATCTCTATTCTTCGCGACGTCGAGCGAAGCACCCCTATACGTCCGGGTAAAGAAGAAGAGGGAGGTAGAAAGGGGGTTGAGAGAGAGAAAAAAAGAAAAAGAGAGAGAGAGAAAGAAAGAGTGGAGCACACCGAGAAGCTGTGCAAGAAGAGATCTCTGCAGAACTATTACCGGTTATTGTTGGAGTTTCCGAGCCAATGGAGAGTCGATGGAAGGCTGATGCAGGACCACCTTAAGAGGCTACATATATATACTATATATATATATATATATATAATAGGTTCGTAAGTGTCTGCTACTGCTGTTGCTGCGTGACGTGACCAAGTGCGAACGAGAAAGGGTTTGAGCGTGAGAGCTTTCTTCGAAGAACGATAATTACCCCCAGCGGTCAGTCGGAACTGAACTGGCTACAGGAATACGAGCTCCCCTTTCGACATACCAGTATCTTGCATTCTCCGGGCTTGCATTAATGATACCATGTATGGTAGATTTTCCGAAAATCGATATCACTAATCCCATGAAACCCGCGGTCAACGTTACTCTGTTCGTCTACCTCTTTTCGCGCCTTTTCACGTCATACATAATTAGATCGTCAAGTAAATGCTACTATATCGCTAATCTATCCATTGTAACATGTATCAAATGATTGATTATATAAAATCGAATATCAACCTTATCTATTATTATTTAATTAATATTCATATAAGATTAATAGTTAAATATATGTGTGTGAATATAATTGTGTTTGTGTGTTTGTAGATAGATAGATAGATAGATAGGTATGTAAAAGTATTATGTGTAGGTTGAATAAAAGAGTAGATAATAGCATTGAAAAATTTCTTTTGAAATCTTACAAACACGTCCACTTACAGCCTACGCTTAAAGAAACGTAAGAAGGATAGAACGAATAAAGAAAGGAAAGAAAGAAAGAAAGAAAGAAAGAGGAGTCGTCAATTCGATCTTACTACGATCAGGAATGGCAAATTTAATAAAGAGTAAGGGGGGGGGGGTGATCTCTCTCGAGGAAAAACCTTTACTCTGTGTTCTCCAAGGAAAATCCCAAGTCAATCGAAGTAATTCAGGACCCTCTCTTCCTTTCACTTTATTTTTAATCTTATTTTTTTTTTTTTTTTTATGTGGCAAATATCTTCTCGTTTTTCATAATATCGTACAACGTATTAAACCGACAAGATTGGCTCTAAGAGTAGAAATAGGAGGGAAGTGTGGGGAGGGGTGGGGGGAGTAGGAGGACACGAGACGGTTTGAAACTCTGCCGGTGGCTGCAAATGAGTTAGTCGAAAATCAGGATTAAGTGCGTGGGAAGTTTGAGTAAATCCCGCGTACTTTACTCGAGGCGTCTTTGCGAATGCAACAAAGAGAAAGAAAGAGAGAGAGAGAGAGAAAGAGAGAGAGAGAGAGAAAGAGAGAGAGGTGGAAGCTGAAGGATGAAGTAGAAAGAGAAGGGCTCCTGGTAATCCTACACGTGTGACACTGTAATTAAATATTTGTACAACGTCGAGGGTTCTGGCATAAGTTTGTGTACTAGTTAATTAAAGGGGCAATTAACCTAATCGTATTATATGCCTTCTTCGTTAGGAATACATCTGAACTACGACGACGAAGATGACTAGGTCCGATCGTCGTTTATATCATTAATTTTACTAATGAATATAGAAATAGGTACCTATATATCTATTTACAATTAGATATATGTATCTTCATAAACGATACTTTGAATTGATACCGATATTTTGATTTAGAAAATGTTTTGTTTCCCTTTTTACAAATTGAATATCTTTCTTTTTGGCGATGACTCGTTGCGTGTAGAAGGAAAAGAAAAAAAGGTTCTGAAATTGACAGGTAATCCGATAGCACGAGGGTAATTTTATCTTACGATCAATCAATCGAATTACCTTTGACAAAGTAAAATAAAAATGAATTTTACTTATCTCTTGTCGTTCTTATAATATTTCAATCTATTATTTGCAATTATTTTTATTTGGTTTTATTATTAATTATAAGATAGATGTAATGTTATATATATATCATCATCATTAAGTATGTATATTGATAGATATATGTATTTAACCAACTATAAAACTATTCTTAAGAATGATTTAGAAAAGAAACCTAATGCAACACGTTGCACAGACATACACATAGATACAGGAACGGTATTGTTCACGCTTAGAACGTTGACCTTGCTTCGTAATGGCCTTGAGGCAGTCGTATTCTTATTTATCGAGATGGAAAATCTCAGACTATTTGAAAGATCTAATAAGTAAAACCCTGTTGCAATATCAAAAACTTGGTGGGACAAACTTTTAAACATTAAATTATAATTATATACATAAATTTATTTTTAAAAGTTAACAAGTAAATTGATATTTGCCATTTTTATTGAAAACACGTTATTCTATTATATTATTTCTTTAATATAATTAATTAAATATAATTAATAAAATCTTAAATATAATTTCTTTAATATAAAGGTAAAAAAAAAAAAAAAATACAAATAAATGAAGGCAAATAAATCGTGTACCAATTTTCTCAAAGTTCATCGTAGTTCAACGTAGGAGGAAAAGCAAATGTGAAAAGAGAAGAAAGAGAAGAAGATGGAGCCGTTATTCCTATGTACTAGCAAGATTGTGGCTCTTATCCAAAATGGACCATACAAGAAGAGCGTATAGCGTTAATTTACGTGTAAAATGGATACACCTTAGTCTACGTAGAGAGATACGTGAATTCTCCTTCGTTTACTTCCCTTTTCTCTACTACAAGTCGAGCAAGAAAAGCAAAACCCATTGCAGATTAAACGATCGGTGAGATCTAAGACCACAAACATACACATATACACTAACACGTATACATATTCTATATGATACACGTGTAACTTGTACTTAATTATGTTAATATTTGTCTCTATCTATTTTTATATACTATATATAAAATATTTTGAGAAAAATTGAAATGTTTTGCTAAGCTAACAAGATTAGACCTTGCACTGTTTAAATTATTGAGTTTTATTAATTATTGCATATAATGGATACCTACAATTGTACAGTAATTCAAAAAAGGAGTAAGTAAGGAGTTAAGGAGTTCCTTGTAAATTAATTAGATCATGTACCATATAAATAAACAAAAGAAATAATAAATAATTTGAAAGATTTATAGGTGAATATACTGCGATAATATCCTGAAATCAAGTTGGTAAGAAATGAAGCCTTAATCTTCTAAATTAATCACCGTGTGATTTCGTAACCAGTGGATTTAGCGTCCTTTATCCTCTTCGAAAGCGACTCCTTTTCGTAGAGAGTTTACCCTCTCTCGGGTGTCACGTTACGATTTTATCGTCGCTCGATTTCTTCTCCTCCTCCTCCTCCTCTTCTTCCTCCTCCTCTGACGAAGCTCGTAAATCGAAAGACGAAGAAGCATGAAGAAGCAAAAGAAGCAAAGAGGAAAGAAGTCAAGAGAATTAAAGAATAAAAAGAAAAGTACGTTATACTCACCCTTTCTACTCGAATAATTCTAATTTGTTCTAATACCAATGTCTTAGATGAAATTAGAAAATTCGTGGAACGAACGTTTGGTTCGACAAAAATGTGCATGCTTTTATACTGAATTAGGTTGAAAATAAAATAGGAAAAGTTTTTAGTAAACATCTAGTAACTGAGGATTTAGCAATTTTCGTGGTTCGTTAAGTCGATGAAGAAAAAGGTAAGGGACGGCCGAAAAATAGTGGGCGGTCGAGAGAGACGTCTCAAAGCTATTCGTAATATGGACCGAACAAGAATTATAGGAGCACGAGGGCGAATCGAGGAGAAGAAATGAAGTGGGGACAGATATATAGAGAGAAAAAGAGAGAGAATGAGAGAGGAAGGGAAAAAAGATAGATAGACAGACAGATAGACAGAAAGAGTACGAGAGAGAGAGAGAGAGAGAGAGAGAGAGAGAGAGATGGGAGAAGAAATAAGCGGAATGAGTTCATCTCGGTTAATGCAACGAGCTAAGTTAACTCGTACATCCTTCTTAACGTGCGTATCGCGATTATGCTACCAATGTT